TTACTTGGGATTTTCCATGTAGACCCTGACCATCATGTAATTCGCAAATAAGGACTATTTTGTTTATTCTTTTCCTATCTGCATGCCTATTATTTTCTTTGCTTGTTTTACTGTGTTAGCTAGATTTTCCAGCACTATGTGGGATACTGTTGGTGAAAATGAACATCCTTGTCAGTTTCTAATTTTAGGTGTAAAAAATGTAGTATTTTGCTGTTAAATATGACATTATATATAAGCTATTTGTAGATATTCTTTAGCAAGTGTAGAGTTTCCCTCTACTGTTATGTTTCCAAAAGTTATTATGAGTGGGTGTTCGCCAACTAATCAAAAAAAATACATTTATGTAATTTTGAAAATATGGAAATATGTGAAGTCAAAGTCAATCTCAAAACTTCTTTGTGGAGATGGTAAGTAAAATTAAAGGATTAAAAACCCATTACTATGCTACAAATCTACTTAAAATTTCTTAATCATTGCTGTTTCTGAGCTCCTTTGAATAATCTGTTAATGTGTGGTACCCTGGCTCATGGCAAGGGCATGACTTAAATTATATGCAAAAAGACCTTAAAAGTATTTATTCAGGGAATAGATACTCCCTTTGTAATGAGAAACAGGTTTAATACAATGATGACTTGTTTCCAAACAATAATCTGAATATCAGAAATTGAAGCTTAAGTTACTCCTACATTTTATTCCTAAAATGGATGTTTTTTGGTTTTTTTTTTTTTTAGAAGAAAGTAGAACATATTAATATGTAACTTCACACCCAAAGAAATGTGAAACTACTTTCCTGACAAACAATGTCCACTAATTAAAAATGACTGTGTTGGCACTTTAAAAGTATCTCTTTGCAGATTGAACACTTGATTTGGGTAAGAGCTTGGCAAACCAAAAGCATATGGCCATTCTCTTTTTCATGGTTGTACCCATAAATGTCATCAGAATTTCAAAATTATGAAGAAGGTCTCTAAGTAGAGAAAATGAGATGCCACTTTCTGTTTTCTAAACCACAGAGATTCAAGGGAGGGGCCCTGGGGCACACACTCAGGGGCCAGTAAGTGATATAGAGGCCTGAAAGAGCCAAATTCTATACAATAAAGACCAAATATCAAAAACAGTTTACAATACCAAAACAGGTTACATCTAACTTCAAGAAATGCTTTCAGTAATACTGGTAACTTTTTATTCCACTAATCATAATTCGTAAGACTGAACTAAAGCAGGAACTCCTGCATTTAATTTGTCCCCAGAGCAATATTATGTGCTTTCAAAACCATAGCTATAAAAAGAGGAAATTCATTTGATGTTTCCATTAGTTTATTATTCAAGTTCGTCCATTACTAACCACTTTACATTTTTAAATACCAGCATGTCTTAATAGTAGGAGCACTGGACTAAGAGTAACAAGCTACACATTTGAGGTCTTACTACCACTGACATCACAATGCATTACATTTTTTTCTGAGTCTCACTTTCCTTATTGGTAAATTAAAACAGTAAAAATAGCTGCTCTGAGTGCCTCACAGGGTAGCTCTAAGGAACAAAAGAAACAAAATATTTAGAAAGAAGAATTCATACCAAAGTGGTAATGAAACCCTTAAACAGCAAAACTCCAAGTGGACATAGCTGGATACTGAACTAGCACAAAAGAGCAAGAGGATACATTTGTTAATGCACATGAAGGGGAATAATATGTGAAACGATATCTTTATTATAGGTAAATTTCCTCAAGAAGCATTCAACTTGGATGATGTTCTTATTAAAACACCCAGGATTATTTCGGTATGTGCATGTGCATCCATTCACACATACATACACACACATACAAACACAGATACACACACACATTGGCCTGCATTTATTGAATACTAATTAAATAATAATTTAATGTTTGCTCTGTGTTTGTCACTGTGCTCAGAACTAGAGATAGAGGAGTAAATAATTCAGAAACAATCCCTCCTTTCACAGAGCATATGTTTTGGTAAGAAAGATTACAATATCCTTTTCAAGCGTGCAATGACAACATGTATGTTGTAGAAATGGAAACTATGGGGGTATAAATATTATTTAGACATGAACATATTTTTGTCTACATACACTGATATTTTAAACTTCTATGCCCCATTTCCATACTATTAGAAAATGTTTAATATTAATTAACTTGATATTTCAGTATTTGAAGCTCCAAGATATCCAGGAGGAAATGTGTCTCAGCTAGAAAAGGAAAGAGTTTTACCCAAAGACAGCCAAAAGGACTTTGTGTTCTCTTCTGGTGAGACAGCTAGTTAGTATCTGTTCAGTTATAAGGCAGAAACATGATTTTGCTATGTCATTATGAATGTCAGGTTGACAAAGCGCAGACTGTGGCAGCTTCTATAAAATGTCAATTTAGTTAAGCTAAAACTAGGTCTTCCATAATTCTATTTCCTATGTATTTCTGTGTTAGGGTGAGCCAAAAGAGAAACTGCACAAGATTGGAATGACAAATATGAAACAAAGGCTATAATCTCTAAAGGTCATTGTAGGGTACCAGGTTCCCCTGTAGCTCACACACATTGTTATATTGACCTGCTAGGTATGCGGAAGCAGCCAGACCTACAGCTCTTTCAGATCCTGCTAGAGCTTCAGGTTTAATTGTTGTTCCCAGGTACAGAATAGCCAGCTGTTCCTAGCACAGAACACTCACATCATAAAGATTAGAGGAGGTAGGATTCAGACACTGTTTCCAGTTTTTCCTTATGGATTCCAGTTTGTCCTTGCTGTGTCTCCTACTCCACGCCTAACATTTTTTATGAACTACCAGCCTTGACTATCTATAGCAACTTCAGACCCACTGCCAGATGCAGTGACAACAGCCTTCCATGGACTTCTTTACCAGCTCCCAGAATAATATATGTTTTGATTTCAGAAATGCTCTTTCTTCTATGGTGGCTATGCTTCACTGATTGACATCAGAAAGCCACCAGTTCAGCTAAATTAGAAGGACATAGACTTTAGTACGAAGGTCTCCAGGCAAAAGAACAGGAGATTTGAGATTAAGTGCAGATAAAGAATAGGTTTACATGACAGAAAGAAGATTTAAAATCAAGGATATGATCAAACCTGAAAGAAAAATAAAAGAAATCAATCATGAACTCCAAGTAAAACAAACATCTGCATAAGCAATTATGGTCCACATATCAAGTTACTCCTCCAAATTAGAACAGGAAGCCGGTAACCCTTTAGAGGAAAAATGGACTGGATTTTAGGCAACAGAATGAGTAAAAAGAGATGATATTGGGGACACAACAAAGAAAACATATGTTTCCTTTTCTAACAAGAAAAACAAATCAAAATAAAAGCACTAAGAAACTCTAGAAAGAACCAAGAAAAAAAACAGCCATGGTAAAAACATGAAGGAATTTAAAATGGGTCAAGATTTTAAGAACATGGAGGAGAGTAAGGAAGGATAATGGATTTGATCATTGTCCAATGAATGTCAATGGGGTTGTCTCAGTGGTGCTATGGAACAGAAGATATAATTCCATCATCCACTGGACACTGTTGTGTTAATAAATTACCAACTTAATTGTAATTTATTGTTTTCAAGTTTTAGACTCACACTGCATAATGTCTATAAGACCATATTATTAACACTAAACAGAATATTAGTGGAATCAACACAGAGCAAATAACTGAGTTGTAGAAAAAAGGACATCATGTGATGTGCTTCACTTGCTACAAACTTAAGAAAAAAATCATCTCAATAAAATATAACTTGATGCTTTGCTGAGTTAAGTATGAGCTAGAGTTAGGAAAATCATACTGTTTAATTATACTGTAAACCATAAAAACAATTTAGCATACAGCATAAAACATTGCTTTTCTATGTTTCTTGAAAACCTGTATTTTTCTGAACCTGACTCAGATTATCTTATTAACTGAATGATTGTGTTCCTCCCAAAATTTCTGTGTTGAAGCTCTAATCCCTAGTATGGCTGTATTTAGAGATGGAGTCTCTAAAGAAATAATTAGGGTTAAATGAGGTCAGAAGGGTGGGTCCCTAATCCAATATGGCTGACTTTCTTATGAGAAGAGATGTTAGGGAGCTCTCCATGCACCAAGGAAAAGCCATGTGAGGACACAGAAAGAAGGGGCCATCTAGAAACCAGAAAGAGACCCTTTCCATAACCTCTCTGTAGGACTTCTAGTCTCCAGAACAATGAAAATAATACATTTTTGTTGTTTGAGCCATCTAGTCTACAGTATTTTATTATGGCAGCCAAGGTGACTAAGCCAGAGACCAATGGTGGGGTTAAAGAAGAGATGAGGAGAAGCTAAATTCCTCATGTTTCTAGTTCAATCGTATTAGCTTCATATGTATTTGTTTTATATTGCTGTTTATTGTATTTGATATCAGATTTTCCCTGATGAAAGAAAAAGTTTTAAACTATCATCTATCACCCCTGAAGAAATAGAGTGTCAAAAGCATCTAATGCTAAATAACTTATGTTTCCTACTCAAATATTACTGATTTTCCTTCATGCCACCATTTTTATGCATTGTTTGACATTTTATTTTAAAATACATTTTAAATTGCAGGAAGTTTTTTAAATAGTTACGTAAAACTCACTTACACTCATAGCTATGTTAAACAACTATCAACATTTTGCCAAAATTTCTCACACATACTCTATTTCTCTTCCTCTTCCCTCTATCACTACACATATGAAATAATATAGACCTAGAAATCTAAACCTTTGAGATCAAATGTAGCTATCATACTTCCTTATCTCCTAAATACTTTAACAGGTATTACACCAAAACAAAGACATTCTCTCTTGAATTACCTTCACAACATTTTTTGAGCTTTCTTTTCTTTTTTTCTTTCTGTACTTCTTGCCCATATTTATCTTGATTACATTTGGTTATTTTTTTTCATATTCATAATTACATACCAGTATTCTGAATTAGATAAGCTAGATAGAATAGAGAAGGACTGCTGTTTTTTTTTTTAGAAGCATACTGAAATAGTTAATTTTATTTGTTCAAGAACTCATATTGCAAGCATTAAACCAGGCATAGGCTTTGATTCTGTGAGCCCAAATTCACGTATTGAAGAAGATCAGAGCAAACTGTGGTCCATGCACATGAATGAAAACTAAAGGGTCAAAGTTAATCACATTGTAGGTTTTAAATTTCTACAGCCTCGCTCAGTAGTCACAGGTCTTTCAGGTCTTTCTGGATGTCCCACAGGGTATCTGCACTTTTCTTGAGCTGAGCAACCTCATCAACCTTTAGCTTCTGATTGATAATGCAGATTAATCCCCAGGCATTGAGGATACATGGAAGGCTCAGGAAGACTTCCCTCTTGATGCCATACATCCCCCTGACCATTGTTGGCACAAGATTAATCTTGGGTAGATTTTTCAACATGGATTCAGTAAGATCAGCCACACTTAATCCAACAGTCCAGTTGGTATATCCTTTTAGCTTGATGACTTCATAGGCACTTTCAGTCACCATCTTATGCACTTCCTTCCAATTTCCACTATCATTGTCAGTTCCCATTTCTGGATTCCATTCCTATAGAGAAACACCTGCCACATTAACGCCACTCCACACAGCCACACTTGAGTCTCCATGTTCTCCCAAAATCCATCCGTGGCAGCTGCTGGGAGGAATGTCAAGTTTTTCGGCCCTAAGGTAGCGAAATCTATCAGAATACGTATTATATCCACTTTTAATCACATGGTGTTTGGGTAATCCACTTAGTTTCCAGGTTACATATATAAGAATGTCCACTGGGTTGGAAACTACAATTATGATGCAATCAGGACTGTACTTGATGATCTTAGTAATACTGAATTTGAAGACATTTACGTTTCTCTGCACCACATTGAAACGACTCTCCTCTTCTTGCTGATGTACTCCTGCAGTTGCCACTACAATCTTAGAATTGGCAGTCACAGAATAATCTCTATCTGCCACAATTTTAGGCATCTGAAGAAATAAGCTCCCATGCTGCATATCCATCATTCGTCCTTTCAGTTTATCTTCCAAAACATCTGTAAGAGCAAGTTCATCAGCCAGAGACTTTCCCAGAATGCTGATAGCACATGCCATTCCAACCTGTCCAACACCTGGTACAGTGATATTATTGTTTGGGACTGTTGCCTCTTCTTCCGCAACTGGTGCAATGAGATTTTCCTTAAGAGTTGCCATTTTGCACAGGAGAGAAGGCTCTAGAGACTGCTGTAACAGTTGTGCTGAGAAGACGATGCCAGCTGCGTGTGTCTCCTCTGGTGCCAGCTCTGCTGAGAAGGACCGGTGTTTCCAGAAGAAACTGTTGAATTCAGTTGCCATGGGGGGATTATGAAAACGGTTTTGATATAAATTCAAGCAGAAATAAACATGCATGATCTTCTCCATTTAGAATTGCACAAAAAGCTGTGTATAATGTCTGCTTTGAAGTGAAACAACAGTCTTGTGCATTGTCATGTCAGACACAAGTAACTATTCTATTTTGTTTTCCTTGTTTTGCCTTCTAGTCCCTCATGAAAGACATCCAAAAACTGATCCTCACTGAAAAACAACACTAAAATCAAGCAGAAGATTGCTTTTGGCAAAACACACTGAGCTGATAAAACACTAATTAGTATATTTGAGTTCAGGCCTCAGGACATTTTCTTCAAATGTTTTCTTTTTTATTCATAATTTATAATGTACCTCTCTTTTATTTTGAAATATATGCTTGTTTTGGAGGAAAACTCTGGCAATATACCAAGGAATAAGTTATATCTAAATGATTTAAAGAGTGTTTGCTAAGGATCTTTGGTGACTATTTTTCTTCCTTAGAACTATAAAATCTAACAAACATAATTCATGAAGATGTTTAGTCTTAAACAGAGATGTTATAGTTTTGAACCAGATTAAATTTTGAAAGTACCTTCATATATCTTGAGATTTTTTGGTAATTATAAATCAAAATAAAACATCCATAAAACGTAAAATTCTGTTTATTTCATCTCTTAAATGTCTGTGGTCTACTAAACTGTTATGGGTATTTGTACACCAACTGTACACACATTTACTCATGGATAAAATGGGAAGCTGAGAATTTTTGAGTTGCACAATTAGGATGTAAGGAGAGTCTTCAAATACTTTGTTATAGTCCAGAGACTGAAGAATGCATACTATCTCAAAGAGAAAGAAGAAATAAGGCTCATTTATCTTTCAAACTAAATTGACAGGCTACTAGTGTAAGTCAAATTGTGTCATGTTAATTATTGATTTGTAGGATAGTAGAGATTCTGTTAGAAAACTTAATGTGAGGACATGATACTCTTACTCATGCCTGCAGTAATGTTGGTGTTACCCTGGCCAACTCTTTCTTTTCTCATCATAAATCATTTCCCATCAGCCACTGATGAGAAATTCTGCTAATGAAGACATATTCCTTTGTATAAAACCCACACATGAATGAGATCATCACTTTTATGAAATCAGTATTACTGACCACAGAAGAGGCTTGCAATAAATGTTGTTTAAATGTTTCTGAATATAGAAAAAGACAAAAGTCAGTATGGGCTTCTGAGCTTCATGATTGGTGTTTCTGCTTTGTAAAATTATTATTGTAAAGCTACCCTAACATAAAGGGAATACAAAAAATAGCACATTGCATAGAACATGGTATACCCTCAATAAATTGAGCTCCTTTTCCCTTCACACATGTCCTTCACATCTCCCACGCCAAAGTGGCCAAATGGGACATTGTTCTATATAAATACATAACCTCTTATGCATACAAAAGAAATGAGCCTGGTATGGTGGCTCACACCTGTAATCCCAGAGATTTGGAAGACCAAGACTGAAAAATCCCTTGAGCCCAGGAGTTTGAGACTAGACTGGGAAACATAGGAAGTCCCCATCTTCTCTCTTAAAAAAATCAAAAATCAGTCAGGCATGGTGCTATGTACCTGTGGTTGCAATGACTCAGATGGCTGAGGTAGGAGGATTGCTTAAGCCCAGACTAAGGCTCAAGTGAACTGTCATAGCACCACTGCACTCCAGCCTGAGTGACAGAGCAAGAACTCATCTCAAAAGAGAGAAAAAAAAATCAGCTGCCACTTTTCTACATATGACAGTCCACATACAGTTCTCATATATTGATTACTCTAAATCTAGCTTTCAGATATTCTGACTTTGTTGTTGAATATAAATTGTGCATTGGCAAATCTAAGTCCATTTTTCAAAGTACATATTTTTTTTTAAGACAATACCTGATTATTGACAAATTCGAGCAAACCCATTATTTCTCTCTCATGTGGCTGAGGATGAGGGGCTGGGATTGGGGAGTGGAATTCCTCCTACACCAGAGCATCTGACAGTATTTGTGAACAAAGACCAATGTCAAATGCAAGGACCTTTCTCTCCACGTGGTCTATAAAGGACCCACCAACACACCTGAAATTCTCTTGCTCGTGTGGGACACTAAGAGCTGCTGTCCTCTTTCCTACTTTAAAATCCCCTCAACCTGTTTCCTCTGGGATAAAGGTGGAACTGCCATAAAGGTAAAAAACAAAGAAGCTGTCAAAAGTAATCTCCTCTTCATGTAAGAAAGTGATCAAAACAGGCCCAAATTCACTAATCAGGCTGCAGGGTAGAGGTGGATACATATGCTCTCTTTCTGTTATCCTGCTCTGTGTAAAGTAGGTAACCTGTTGCTGAAGGTAAGACATTTGGAGCTGCCCGCATCACTACCTCTGCCCATTGGAGAGGCTGGAGCTCAAGGGAGCAGCTCTTCACTGAGAAAGAGTAAATATCCCACTGGATTTCCCCAGTAATCAGTGATTGGTATGTTGATCCTCTCCACTGAAGCTGACTCCTGGTACACCCAGGGGCTCTCATTCACCCCATGGACAGTCCAGTCCCAAAGGACACTACCTTCTTCCACTCCAAAATTAAGAATGTAATAGTATTTTTCAGATCTCAGAAATTTAACCCTCTTTGGAGTCTCTAAGTCTATTGTTCTACTTACAGACACTACACTTCTAATTAAATTTTTATAAACACCCACTGTTAATAGAAATAGGGGCTGTCTATAGCTGTTTAATCATTCACCAATTTTTTGGAATTCTGTCAGTCCTAAAGTTTCCAACAATCTCTGCTACAATATAAAAATATTTAATTATTTTGCAGGTGGTAGTGTCTAATAAATAACCTAATAATTAATTTAGCACTTTGAGATAAATTCAATAAAATATTATTGTGTTATATCCACTAGAATAATTTTATTATAGTTACATTAATTCCTAAATACTGGCCTTTCGAAGGCATATGATGCTTACATCGTATTTTGTTGCTATCTCTTCTATAACTATACGGTGTTTTAACATATTTATCTGATAAATAAAGTTTAATTTTTTAGATGAGAAAATCTGATATCAACACACATTCTAGCCTTTGGCTGAAATTTCACCTAAAACAATATGTTAAAATGATATCTGCTGAGTGTATCCTTTCTAAATTTGAATATTAAAACCACCATTGCAACTTGTTAAAATGTGAAAGTCGCTGTTAAATTATAGAAAGAATTCATTAAACGATGCTATAGTCACTTACTAAAGACATTTTTAATTAAGTCAATCAATATTTTCACTTATCTTTATTAGAGTTCCAAAAAGCTAGCATAATGAGCTTTTCACAATATATATTTTGTTTCATTATGTATAATATCACCTTAATGTTTGTGGAAATTTACTGTTTCAACAATTTTCTTACTATGTGTTGCTCTTTAGAAATTTTTCTAAATGTTATTTGAAGATCAGTGATTTTAAAAGAACAATTCTGCCACCTTGTGTTCTGCAAAACCAGGATAGCTGCTTGCTTCTGGGAAACCGCGAGTACTTTGTTATCAAACTTGGAAGTTGTAACTCTGAATCAGAATTCTAGAATAATCAGCTGTGCCCCTCCCCCTGTTTATTTTCTTCCAAGTTTGCAAGTACTGATCACGGAAGCTGGTTACTTAAGCTGTACCTGCGCCAGAGTTAGGACTCATTCCTCAGGGTTTCTACCAAGGTTTGTAAAGCCAAACAACAAAGCTTTAATTGCAACCATACGTCACTCGGTTTAAATTTTATTTTATTTTAAATATATATGTCTAAAATTTAGAATATATATGCACATCAGAATTACTAAATTGCTAGTTGATACTCTGAGCTATACAGGTTATATGCACTATGTTTTAAAATAGTAATAAGAACAATACAAGAAAAAAGCTTACAATTTAAAATATATATATATATACATATATATATATATTAATCATCTGAGTTTGAAAAACCACAAACAACTATTCCTACCTCTTAAAAGTTGAGGTAGGAATAGTTGTTTGTGGTTTTTCAAACTCAGATAATTAATAGAAGAAAACTTTCAAACTTTTGTGAAAATGCAACTTTTAATCAGTGGATTAAAAGTTAAACAAACAGAATAAGGACCTATTATTACTAATAAAGAAATAATCATTAACCTATTGATGTGTCTCTTTCTTACAGTAGAAAATGCTAGGAATACACAATACATTGTTTCAAGGTTTGCAATTTATCATTCTTCCCTAGAAAGGCAGAAGATGGAATGCCATCAAAAGCCTCAACTTTTGCTTCCATCCTCCCCTTGACACATGGATTACCGAATTCTTTGTATCCTTCTGCTCCCTTAGTGAATTTATTTTCAAGAGAAGAATGTGAGTTAGTCTTCACAGGACTAAACTTTGAAAGCCTATAAAAAGGCTTCATCAGAAATTTATATACTTGGTGGTTGGGGTAAAGAGAGACCATCATTTTAATCAGATTTCAAAGTCATCTGTCCCCACCTTCCCAAAAGTTTAAAAATTACCATAAAACGTCTCTGATTTGAATTACACAATTCTATTCCCTGTGAGCAAATCATAAAATTTAGGTGGAATGTTGCTGCCACCTTGTGCCTAACAAGTATCTCTTTCAGTTTCCATTAAGTGTGTTAGTTGGAGTGATCAATAAAAAAACATTCTGAATTCAACCTGTAGGATTCCACAAGGACTTATGGGAACAAAACATGGAAAAACAGTGAACTTCAAGCTATAGGTCCCTTAAATCATTATTAGAATTATTGTATACAAGAGTTTTAATAAATTATAGGGCTGCTCATGATTAAACATTTGTCCTTAATAGTTTTAGTCTTAAACAACTCACACTTGGAGCAGGAATTCGAATTAGCAG